TGGAGCACGCGCACTACCGGCCGAGAAAGAGGGACGCGGCGGCGCGTATGGCGCGTATGGCACCGTATAGCAGAAATCTGTCTGCGCACTTTTACGGCGTAAAATCTTCAAAATGTGCTCCGCGGACCTCTGGCACGCGTCTTTTTGGCGGGGTGCGGTCTAGTTTACGGCGTAAAATCCTCGACTTATACCAGGAGGCCAGTGCAGCGGCGGCGTTTCGACCCTTGGTAGATGTTCGTGCATTTGTGCGGTCACGCAAAAAGCACACTCGCAGTAGACTCCCGGAGGACTGGCTGAGTTGCGCAGCTCTGCCAGAGAGGTAGCTCGACTGCGTCGCGGGGATTCAGGTCGTGGCCCTTCCAAACGTCCAAACAGTATCGCAGCTTGACACATTTGGCCCGAGTCGGTGAATGCGTTCCTGGCTATCGAAATGATGTGGGGACCCAATCGCGAGGTGTTCACCCTAAGAAGCTGCAAATTGCAGTAAAAGGCAGGCTGTCGACAAGGCAAGCCACTGAACAGAGCATCGTTTTCCTCACGCGGCCGCCGGGAGCCATCCAGAAACCCATTCGAGCAGCGCGTCGCAGCCCTGATACAAGCCAACCAAGAACATAAAGCAGAGACGTGTGCCACTTTCCATTCTAAAAGCTGTATATGCTAAGCTCGCATTCTTGACGCAGAAGATTCGATTGCGGCGTGAAGAGGAGACGCGACCAAGGGTCCGTCGAATTATACATTGGCAGTGATCCTTTTTGAAAGAACGAGCTGGACGCTCTTTCATCAATTCGTCAACCCCCAGCTCTTTCCAGAATTGGCTCGTCATTTCCGCAATCTGGACACATACGGACGAATTATAGAGGAACGCTCGTTCGTCGATCACCGCTATGCCGAGCACCTTCCACCTGACGGGAACCCAAAGGCAGTGACTCTTTTTGCTTCTCACTTGTCAAGCTTATGTGCTGGCTCTACTGGGTAGCTCCAATTTTGCGGAGCAGGCAGCCCTCTTCAACAAGTTGGGTTTGGCAAGCACACAGATCATAGTCATCGCGTTCATTCTGGTGAATATCTTTTGCTCAGGCCGCCACATTTTTGCAGCGACACAGGGTATAGGTGCGACGGCCTTGGTCGCTTGGTTCTTATTTTATCAATGCTGGGTGCCCCTCCCGTCTGATAATGTCGCAGACAATGCCGCGGATATGAGGTCCCAGATCATTCTCGCCTTGTTAGAGAACGAGGATCAATTTGAGCAAAATCAAAAGCTTGAGACCGACTCGCCTCGCCTTTGACCAGCTAGTGCCAGGGCGTAGCACGGTAAGCAGAACTCAAGCGTTCCAACCCCGACAGGCCTGGATACATACGCTTGTCTGCTTGGGAACAGGGATTGCTGACGGCCTTCGCCAATTGCCTATCAACGGCTTGATCTCGTTCACCAATGCTACCGGCGTCAATGTGCAACCAGTCATCGCTCCGACTCAAAGTAAATCCCAAGGCGCTGTCGCGTCAGAGGCTGCGGTCCTCGAATGAAGTCACAAAGAATCTTTAGCCATCGCCACAGAATTGGGCAACGGCATTCAAGGCAAAGACTCAATATCACGCGTCCTTTCAGACACAAGTCGATCGTGTATGCGCAAGCAGTGACTCTCACGAGAGACCCTTTGTACTCGTGCTTGATGTGCGGAAATGCGAACAACTTTCTCAATGCC